GTGTGGGTGGGGTGGGGTGGTGTGGGTGGTGGTGGTGGTGTGGTGGTGGTGTGGGGGTGGGGGTGTGGGTGGTGGTGGTGTGGGGGGTGTGGTGGGTGGGGTTTTGGGTGGTGGTGGTGGTGGTGGTGTGGGTGGTGGTGGTGTGGTGTGGTGGGTGGTGTGGTGGTGTGGGTGGTGGTGTGTGGGTGGTGGTGGGTGTGGTGGGTGGTGGGGGGGTGGGGGGGGTGGGGGGGGTGGGGGGTGGGGGGGGTGGGGGGGGTGGTGTGGGGGGTGGGGGGGTGGTGGTGTGGGGGGTGGTGGTGTGGGTGGTGGTGGTGTGGATGGTGTGGGTGGTGGTGGTGTGGGTGGTGGTGTGGGTGGTGGTGGTGTGGGTGGTGGTGTGGGTGGTGGTGGTGTGGGTGGTGGTGGTGAGGGTGGTGGTGGTGTTGGTGGTGTGGGTGGTGGTGGTGTGGGTGGTGGTGGTGTGGGTGGTGGTGTGGGTGGTGGTGGTGAGGGTGGTGTTGGTGGTGTTGGTGGTGTGGGTGGCATTGGTGTGGGTGGTGGTGTGGGTGGTGGTGGTGTTGTGGGTGGTGGTGTTGTTGTGGGTGGTGCTGGTGGTGTGGGTGGCGTTGGTGTGGGTGGTGGTGTGGGTGGTGGTGTTGTGGTTGGTGGTGGTGTTGTTGGTGGTGGTGGTGGTGGTGGTGTGGGTGGTGGTGGTGTGGGTGGTGGTGTGGGTGGTGGTGGTGAGGGTGGTGTTGGTGGTGTGGGTGGTGGTGTGGGTGGTGGTGTGGGTGGTGGTGGTGTGGGTGGTGGTGGTGGTGAGGGTGGTGGTGTGGGTGGTGGTGGTGAGGGTGGTGTGGGTGGTGGTGGTGGTGTTGGTGGTGGTGAGGGTGGTGGTGGTGTGGGTGGTGTTGGTGGTGGTGTGGGTGGTGGTGGTAGTGTTGGTAGTGTTGGTGGTGGTGTTGGTGGTGGTGTTGGTGGTGTTGGTGTTAGTGGTGGTGTTTTTGTTAGTGGGGGTGTTGGTGGTGGTGGTTGTGTTGTTGTTGGTGGTTGTGGTGTTGGTGGTGATGTTGGTGGTGTTGGTGGTGTTGTTAGTGGTGGTGTTGTTAGTGGTGGTGTTGGTGGTGTTGTTGTTAGTGTTGTTGGTGGTGTTGTTGTTGGTGGTGTTGTTGTTGTTGTTCGTGGTGGTGTTGTTGTTGTTAGTGTTGTTGTTAGTGGTGTTGTTGTTGTTAGTGGTGTTGTTGTTTGTGGTGGTGTTGTTGGTGGTGTTGTTAGTGTTGTTAGTGTTGTTGTTGTTGGTGTTGTTGTTGTTAGTGGTGGTGTTGTTGTTAGTGTTGTTGTTGTTGGTGGTGTTGTTGTTGTTAGTGGTGGTGTTGTTGTTAGTGTTGTTGTTGTTAGTGTTTTGTTGTTGTTGGTGGTGTTGTTGTTGTTAGTGGTGGTGTTGTTGTTAGTGTTGTTGTTGGTGGTGGTGTTGTTGTTAGTGTTGTTGTTAGTCTTGTTGTTAGTCTTGTTGTTGTTGTTGTTGTTCACCGCAGGATGAGCACACAGGCTGCTACGAGTGAGTAGGCTAGCAGCGTGCCGATGGACATCATGTCCACCAGGTCCTTGAGGTTGAAGAGCAGCGACATCACCGCTACGGAGATACACACGGTGAGGTCAGCATCACCACTCACCACTCACCACACCACTCACCCTCACCACTCACCACACCACTCACCCTCACCACTCACCACACCACTCACCCTCACCACTCACCACTCACCGCTCACCACACCACTCACCACTCACCACACCACTCACGCTCACTCTCACCACTCACCACTCACGCTCACCACTCACGCTCAACACTCACCACACCACTCACCACTCACTCACTCTCACCCGTCACCACTCACCCGTCACCACTCACCACTCACAACTCACCACACCACTCACCACTCACGCTCACCACTCACCCCTCACCACTCACCCTCAACACTCACCACACACCCCTCACCACACCACTCACTCGTCACCCCTCACCATACCACTCACCACTCACTCTGACCACTCACCCCTCACCACTCCCCACTCACCCCTCACCACTCACCCCTCCCCACTCCCCACTCACCCCTCACCACTCACCCCTCCCCACTCCCCACTCACCCCTCACCACTCACCCCTCACCACTCACTCACTCACCCCTCACCACTCACCCCTCCCCACTCACCACTCTCCCCTCACCACTCACCCCTCACCACACCACTCACTTGTCATCCCTCACCCCTCACCATATCACTCACCATACCACTCACCCTCACCACACCACTCACCATACCACTTACCCTCACCACTCTCCCTCACCACACCACTCACCACTCACTCTCACCATACCACTCACTCCTCACCACGCACCCTTACCACTCACCACTCCCCCCTCACCACACCACTCACTCGTCACCCCTCACCCCTCACCACTCACCATACCACTCACCACTCACCCCTCACCACTCACCATACCACTCACCCTCACCACACCACTCACCCTCACCACACCACTCACCACGCCACTCACCACTCACCCCTCACCCCTCACCACTCACCCCTCACCACACCACTCACCATACCACTCACTCTCACCACACCACTCACCCCTCACCACTCACCATACCACTCACCACTCACCCCTCACCACTCACCATACCACTCACCCACACCACACCACTCACCCTCACCACACCACTCACCACGCCACTCACCACTCACCCCTCACCCCTCACCACTCACCCCTCACCACACCACTCACCATACCACTCACTCTCACCACACCACTCACCCCTCACCACTCACCATACCACTCACCACTCACCCCTCACCACTCACCATACCACTCACCCTCACCACACCACTCACCCTCACCACACCACTCACCACGCCACTCACCACTCACCCCTCACCACTCACCCCTCACCACACCACTCACCATACCACTCACTCTCACCACACCACTCACCATACCACTCACCCTCACCACTCACCACTCACCTTCACTACTCACCACTCACCACTCACCCTCACCCCTCACCACTCATCATACCACTCACCCTCATCACACCCCTCACCCCTCACAACTCACCACACCACTCACCCCTCACCACACCCCTCACCACTCACCCTCACCACACCACTCACCATACCACTCACCCTCACCACACCACTCACCATACCACTCACTCTCACCACACCCCTCACCCCTCACCACACCACTCACCATACCACTCACTCTCACCACACCCCTCACCCCTCACCACACCCCTCACCACACCTCTCACTCCTCACCCCTCACCACTCACCCCTCACCACTCACCATACCACTCACCACTCACCACTCATCCCTCACCACTCACCCCTTACCACTCACTCACTCACCCCTCACCCCTCACCACTCACCCCTCACCACTCACCACTCTCCCCTCACCACTCACCCCTCACCACACCACTCACTCGTCATCCCTCACCCCTCACCACTCACCATACCACTCACCACTCACCATACCACTCACCCTCACCACACCACTCACCATACCACTCACCCTCACCATACCACTCACCACTCTCCCTCACCACACCACTCACCACTCACCCCTCACTCTCACCACTCACCCCTCACCACTCACCCCTCACCACTCACCCCTCACCACTCACTCTCACCACTCACCTTGACCACTCACCACTCACCCCTCACCCTCACCACTCACCACTCACCCCTCACCACTCACCCCTCACCATTCACCCCTCACCACTCACCCTCACCACTCACCCCTCACCACTCACCCCTCACCACACCACTCACCCTCACAACTCACTATACCACTCACCCTCACCCCTCACCACTCACCATACCACTTACCCTCACCACACCACTCACCATTCCACTCACCCTGACCACACCACTCACCCTCACCACACCACTCACCACACCACTCACCCTCACCACTCACCCCTCACCACACCACTCACCACTCACCCCTCACCACTCAACCCTCACCACACCACTCACTCGTCACCCCACACCACTCACTCGTCACCACTCACCCTCACCACTCACCCTCACCACACCACTCACCACACCACTCACCCTCACCCCTCACCCCTCATCCCTCACCACACCACTCACCCTCACCCCTCACCCCTCACCCCTCACCCTCACCCCTCACCGGCCACGGCCCCAGACACGACTGTTGCCACCAGCGGCGTCTTCGTTCGCTCGTTCACCGTCCCCAGGAAGCGGAACAGGAGGCCGTCCTGTGCCATGGCGTAGATGACCCGCGGCATGGGGAACATGGATCCCAGCAAGCTGGTCAGGGGTCAGGGGTCAGGGGTGAGGGGTGAGGGGGCGAGTGTGGAGCGGAGAGGAGGGAGGAGGGGGAGGGAGGTTAACGCTCGCTCAGAGGAACCGGGAATGACGCTCGCTCGGACATCCAGACACCTCGCTCAGCCACACACTCACTCACACAATCACTCACTCACTCACCCACTCACTCACCCACTCACTCACACAATCACTCACACACCCACTCACACAATCACTCACTCACACAATCACTCACTCACTCACCCACTCACTCACCCATCTACTCACCTGTCTACTCACCTGTCTACTCACCCATCTACTCACTCACTCACCCACTCACTCACCCACTCACTCACACAATCAATCACTCACTCACTCACCCACTCACTCACCCATCTACTCACCTGTCTACTCACCTGTCTACTCACCCATCTACTCACCCACTCACTCACCCACCCACCCACTCACTCACCCAACCACTCACTCACCCACTCATCCACCCACCCACCCACCCACTCACCCACCTAGCCACTCACTCACCCACCCACCCACTCACCCACCTAGCCACTCACTCACCCACTCACCCACCCACCTACTCACTCACTCACCCACCCACCCACCCACCACCCACCCACCCACCTACCCACCACCCACCCACTCACTCACTCACCCACCCACCCACTCACTCACCCACCCACCCACTCACTCACCCACCCACTCACTCACCCACTCACCCACCCACCTACTCACCCACCCACCCACCCACTCACCCACCCACCCACCCACTCACCCACTCACCCACCCACACACTCACCCACTAACCCACTCACCCACCTACCCACCCACCACCCACCCACCTAGTGGAGAGTGCGCAGAGCGACCCCACAGCCACGGGGTAGCGTGCCCTGCCCCAGCCCACGTGCTCGAAGGCGACGGGCAGCGAGGAGTCGCGGTGCAGCAGGTAGTAGGGCATCATGAGTGTGATGGCGGCAGCCACGCCAAAGTAGGCCAGGAAGCAGACAAGCAGAGACACCACAATACCCACGGGGATGGCACGCTGGGGGTTCCTCACCTCCTCGCCTGGGGGGGGGGGGGGGGGGGGGGGGGGGGGGGGGGGGGGGGGGGGGGGGGGGGGGGGGGGGGGAGGGTGGGGGGCATGAGCTGATGTCTCTACCCCCCCACGTCTCCCCCCCACGTCTCTCCCCCCCACGGTCTCTCCCCCACGTCTCTCCCCCACGTCTCCCCCCCACGTCTCCCCCCCACGTCTCTCCCCCCACGTCTCCCCCACGTCTCCCCCCCACGTCTCTCCCCCACGTCTCCCCCCCACGTCTCTCCCCCACGTCTCTCCCTCACGTCTCTCCCCCCCACGTCTCCCCCCCACGTCTCTCCCCCCCACGTCTCTCCCCCACGTCTCCCCCACGTCTCCCCCCCACGTCTCTCCCCCACGTCTCCCCCCCACGTCTCTCCCCCCCACGTCTCCCCCCCACGTCTCTCCCCCACGTCTCTCCCCCACGTCTCCCCCCCCACGTCTCTCCCCCACGTCTCTCCCCCCCACGTCTCCCCCCCACGTCTCTCCCCCACGTCTCTCCCCCACGTCTCCCCCCCACGTCTCTCCCCCACGTCTCTCCCCCCCACGTCTCCCCCCCACGTCTCTCCCCCACGTCTCTCCCCCACGTCTCTCCCCCACGTCTCCCCCCCACGTCTCTCCCCCACGTCTCTCCCCCCCACGTCTCCCCCCCACGTCTCTCCCCCACGTCTCTCCCCCACGTCTCTCTCCCTCACCTCCCCCACGTCTCCCTCTCACGTCTCTCCCTCACCTCCCTCACGTCACCCCCCCCCCTCGCCCCCCCCTGCCCCCCCCCACGTCTCCCCCCCCCCCCGTACCGGTGGTGGCGATGCAGTCGAAGCCGACGAAGGCATAGAAGCAGGTGGCAGCACCGGCCAGAGTCCCCGACACCCCAAACGGCACGAAGCCTCCCGCACCAAACTCACCCACGGAGGAGTTTGCCCTGTGCCTGGGGCGGGGGGCACCACGGCACGGAGACTCACCCCCGCTCACTCGCTTACTCACCCGCTCGCTCGCCCGCTCGCTCACCCGCTCACCCGCTCACTCACCCGCTCGCTCGCTTACTCACCCGCTCACTCGCCCGCTCACTCGCTCAATCGCCCGCTCACTCACCCGCCCACCTGCTCAGTCACCCACTCACTCACTCGCTCACTCACCCACTCACTCACTCACTCGCTCACCCACTCACTCACTCGCTCACTCACCCGCACACTCGCTCACCCACCCACTCACTCACCCACTCACTCACCCACTCACTCAGCCACTCGCTCACCCACTCACTCACTCACCCACTCACCCACTAACTCACTCGCTCACTCACTCACCGATTTACACCCTCACCCACCCATGGCGTCAACGCGGCACCCCTCCCCTCCTCTCTCTCTCCTCACCCCCCGTGCCTCACCACCACCACCACTCACCACCACCACCACCGCTCACCACCACCACCACGACCGCTCACCACCATCACCACCACCACGGCTCACCACCACCACCACCGCTCACCACCACCACCACGGCTCACCACCACCACCACCGCTCACCACCACCACCACCGCTCACCACCACCACCACCACCGCTCACCACCACCACCACCACCGCTCACCACCATCACCACCACCACGGCTCACCACCACCACCACCACCACCGCTCACCACCACCACCACCACCGCTCACCACCATCACCACCACCGCTCACCACCACCACTCACCACCACCACCACCGCTCACCACCACCACCACGGCTCACCACCACCACCACCACCACCGCTCACCACCATCACCACCACCGCTCACCACCACCACCACGGCTCACCACCACCACCACCACCGCTCACCACCATCACCACCACCACCACCACCACCGCTCACCACCACCACCACCGCTCACCACCATCACCACCACCGCTCACCACCACCACCACCACCAGCACGGCTCACCACCACCACCACCACCACCGCTCACCACCACCACCACTCACCACCACCACCACCGCTTACCACCACTACCACCACCACCACCGCTCACCACCACCACCACCGCTCACCACCACCACCACTCACCACCACCACGACCACCGCTCACCACCACCACCACCACGGCTCACCACCACCACCGCTCACCACCACCACCAGCACGGCTCACCACCACCACCACTCACCACCACCACCACCACCACTCACCACCACCACCACCACCAGCACCACCACCAGCACCACCACCAGCACCACCAGCACGGCTCACCGCGTGTGGTTGAGGTAGTCTTCGTGGGTCAGGGCCCAGTTGTGGGTGTCTCCCTTGACGAAGCCAGAGATGATGACGAACGTGAGCACGGCCACGTTCACCCCTGTGAACACTTTGTTGATGAACGCAGACTCCTTCACCCCAAACGCCAGCACGCCTGGGGGGGGAGGGGGTCAGTGAGTGAGTGGGTGAGAGGGTGGGTGGGTGAGAGGGTGGGTGGGTGAGAGGGTGGGTGGGTGGGTGTGTGGGTGGGTAGGTGGATGGGTGAGTGGGTGGGTGAGAGGGTGGGTGGGTGAGAGGGTGGGTGGGTGAGAGGGTGAGTGGGTGGGTGTGTGGGTGGGTGAGTGGGTGGGTGTGTGGGTGGGTGAGTGGGTAGGTGGGTGGGTGAGTGAGTGAGTGAGTGGGTGGGTGGGTGAGAGGGTGTGTGGGTGGGTGTGTGGGTGGGTAGGTGGGTGGGTGAGTGGGTGGGTGAGAGGGTGGGTTGGTGGGTGTGTGGGTGTGTGGGTGGGTAGGTGGGTGGGTCAGTGAGTGAGTGAGAGGGTGGGTGGGTGAGAGGGTGGGTTGGTGGGTGTGTGGGTGGGTAGGTGGGTGGGTGAGTGAGTGAGAGGGTGGGTGGGTGAGAGGGTGGGTTGGTGAGAGGGTGAGTGGGTGGGTGTGTGGGTGGGTGAGTGGGTGGGTGTGTGGGTGGGTGAGTGGGTAGGTGGGTGGGTGAGTGAGTGAGTGAGAGGGTGGGTGGGTGAGAGGGTGAGTGCGTGGGTGTGTGGGTGGGTAGGTGGATGGGTGAGTGAGTGAGTGAGAGGGTGGGTGGGTGAGAGGGTGGGTTGGTGAGAGGGTGAGTGGGTGGGTGTGTGGGTGGGTGAGTGGGTGGGTGTGTGGGTGGGTGAGTGGGTAGGTGGGTGGGTGAGTGAGTGAGTGAGAGGGTGGGTGGGTGAGAGGGTGGGTTGGTGAGAGGGTGAGTGGGTGGGTGTGTGGGTGGGTAGGTGGGTGGGTGAGTGAGTGAGTGGGTGTGTGGGTAAATGAGTGGGTGAGTGAGTGAGTGGGTGGGTGGGTAAATGAGTGAGTGGGTGTGTGGGTGGGTGTGTGGATGGGTAAATGAGTGAGTGAGTGTGTGGGTGGGTGAGTGAGTTGGTGAGTGAGTGTGTGAGTGAGTGAGTGAGTGGGTGGATGGGTAAATGAGTGAGTGAGTGAGTGGGTAGGTGGGTGAGTGAGTTGGTGAGTGAGTGTGTGAGTGAGTGAGTGAGTGGGTGGATGGGTAAATGAGTGAGTGAGTGTGTGGGTGGGTAAATGAGTGAGTGGGTGAGTGAGTGAATGGGTGTGTGGGTGGTTGGGTGAGTGAGTGAGTGGGTGTGTGGGTGGGTAAATGAGTGGGTGAGTGAGTGAGTGGGTGGGTAAATGAGTGGGTGAGTGAGTGAGTGGGTGGGTAAATGAGTAAGTGGGTGAGTGTGTGAGTGGGTGGGTGGGTAAATGAGTGAGTGAGTGGGTGAGTGTGTGGGTGGGTAAATGAGTGAGTGAGTGAGTGGGTGTGTGGGTGGGTGGATGAGTGAGTGGTTGAGTGAGTGAGTGGGTAAATGAGTGAGTGGGTGAGTGAGTGAGTGTGTGGGTGGGTAAATGAGTGAGTGGGTGTGTGGGTGGGTACCTGGGTGCATGGGGGAGTGGGTGAGTGAGTGCGTGGGTGTGTGAGTGAGTGGGTGAGTGAGTGGGTGTGTGGGTGGGTAGGTCAGTGGATGAGTGAGTGGGTGAGTAAGTGAATGAGTGGGTAAATGAGTGAGTGGGTGTATAAGTGAGTGGCTGTGTGGGTGGGTAGGTGGGTGCATGAGGGAGTGGGTGAGTGAGTGTTGTTGGTGTGTGGGTAAATGAGTGAGTGGGTGCATGAGTGAGTGGGTGTGTGAGTGGGTGAATGAGTGAGGGGGGTGAGTGAGTGGGTAAATGAGTGAGTGGGTGTGTGGATGCATGAGTGGGTGGGTGAGTGAGTGTGTGTGTGGGTGGGTAGGTGGGTGAATGAGTGAGTGGGTGAGTGAGTGAGTGTGTGGGTGTGTGGGTGGGTAGGTGGGTGGATGAGTGAGTGGGTGGGTGAGTGAGTGTGTGTGTGGGTGGGTAGGTGGGTGGATGAGTGAGTGGGTGAGTGAGTGAGTGTGTGGGTGTGTGGGTGGGTAGGTGGGTGGATGAGTGGGTGGGTGGATGAGTGAGTGGGTGAGTGTGTGAGTGGGTGTGTGGGTAAATGAGTGAGTGGGTGTGTGGGTGTGTGGGTGGGTAGGTGGGTGCATGAGGGAGTGGGTGAGTGAGTGTTGTTGGTGTGTGGGTAAATGGGTGAGTGGGTGGATGAGTGAGTGGGTGTGTGGGTGGGTAGGTGGGTGCATGAGGGAGTGGGTGAGTGTGTGGGTAAATGGGTGAGTGAGTGAGTGGGTGAGTGAGTGAGTGGGTGAGTGAGTGTGTGGGTGGGTAGGTGGGTGGATGAGTGAGTGGGTGAGTGAGTGTGTGGGTGGGTGGGTGGATGAGTGAGTGGGTGAGTGGGTGTGTGGGTAAATGAGTGAGTGGGTGTGTGGGTGGGTGTGTGGGTAGGTGGGTGAGTGAGTGAGTGGGTGTGTGGGTGGGTAGGTGGGTGGATGAGTGAGTGGGTGAGTGAGTGAGTGTGTGGGTGTGTGGGTGTGTAGGTGGGTGAGTGAGTGAGTGAGTGGGTGAGTGGATGAGTGAGTGGGATGTATGAGTGTTGTTGGTGTGTGGGTGGGTAGGTGGGTGGATGAGTGGGTGAGTGAGTGAGTGTGTGGGTGAGTGGGTAGGTGGGTGCATGAGGGAGTGGGTGAGTGAGTGTGTGGGTGTGTGGGTAAATGGGTGAGTGGGTGGATGAGTGAGTGGGTGTGTGGGTGGGTAGGTGGGTGCATGAGTGAGTGGGTGAGTGAGTGAGTGGGTGAGTGAGTGGGTGTGTGGGTGGGTAGGTCAGTGGATGAGTGGGTGAGTAAGTGAATGAGTGGGTAAATGAGTGAGTGGGTGTATGAGTGAGTGGGTGTGTGGGTGGGTAGCTGGGTGCATGAGGGAGTGGGTGAGTGAGTGTTGTTGGTGTGTGGGTAAATGAGTGAGTGGGTGCATGAGTAAGTGGGTGTGTGAGTGGGTGAATGAGTGAGGGGGGTGAGTGAGTGGGTGTGTGAGTGGGTGAGTGGGTGCATGAGTGAGTGGGTGAGTGAGTGAGTGTGTGGGTGTGTGGGTGGGTAGGTGGGTGGATGAGTGGGTGGGTGAGTGAGTGAGTGTGTGGGTGAGTGGGTGGGTGGGTGCATGAGTGGGTGGGTGAGTGAGTGTGTGGGTGGGTAGGTGGGTGGATGAGTGAGTGGGTGAGTGAGTGAGTGGGTGAGTGAGTGAGTGTGTGGGTGAGTGGGTGGGTGGGTGCATGAGTGGGTGGGTGAGTGAGTGTGTGGGTGGGTAGCTGGGTGCATGAGGGAGTGGGTGAGTGAGTGGGTGTGTGGGTGTGTGTGTAGGTGGGTGAGTGAGTGAGTGGGTGTGTGGGTGTGTGGGTGGGTAGGTGGGTGGATGAGTGAGTGGGTGAGTGAGTGGGTGAGTGGATGTGTGGGTGGGTAGGTGGGTGGATGAGTGGGTGGGTGAGTGAGTGGGTGTGTGGGTGTGTAGGTGGGTGAGTGAGTGAGTGTGTGGGTGGGTAGGTGGGTGGATGAGTGAGTGGGTGAGTGAGTGGGTGAGTGGATGTGTGGGTGGGTAGGTGGGTGGATGAGTGGGTGGGTGAGTGAGTGGGTGTGTGGGTGTGTAGGTGGGTGAGTGAGTGAGTGTGTGGGTGGGTAGGTGGGTGGATGAGTGGGTGGGTGAGTGAGTGGGTGCATGAGTGGGTGGGTGATTGAGTGGGTGAGTGGATGTGTGGGTGTGTGTGTGTGTAGGTGGGTGAGTGAGTGAGTGGGTGTGTGGGTGTGTGGGTGTGTGTGTAGGTGGGTGCGTGAGTGAGTGGGTGTGTGGGTGTGTAGGTAGGTGAGTGAGTGAGTGGGTGAGTGAGTGAGTGTGTGGGTGTGTGGGTGTGTGGGTGTGTAGGTGGGTGAGTGAGTGTGTGGGTGTGTGGGTGGATGAGTGAGTGGGATGTATGAGTGTTGTTGGTGTGTGGGTGGGTAGGTGGGTGGATGAGTGGATGTGTGGGTAGACGAGAACCCCCCTCACTCCCCCACTACCGGTGAGCAGCATGATGAGGGCGGCTGCGAGGAAGTCTGGGTAATCCGCCAGCCACGGGTGGTTGAAGGCGACATGGCGCAGGAAGAACGACTTCACAATGTCGCCCTCCGTCATGCCGTCCACCGCCGCGGTCCAGGCCCGCGCCACGCTCGACGCGCCTGGACACCGCCGTCACCACGGTTACCGCCGAGGGGGTGAGTGAGGGGGTGAGTGAGTGAGGGGGTGAGTGAGTGAGGGGGTGAGTGAGGGTGTGGGTGAGTGAGTGGGTGAGTGAGGGAGTGAGTGAGTGGTGAGTGAGTGGTGAGTGAGTGAGAGGGTGAGTGGGTGAGTGAGTGCGTGGGTGAGTGAGTGGGTGAGTGGGTGAGTGAGGGGGTGAGTGAGGGAGTGAGTGAGGGGGTGAGTGAGGGGGTGAGTGAGTGGTGAGTGAGTGGTGAGTGAGTGGTGAATGAGTGAGAGGGTGAGTGAGTGCGTGGGTGAGTGAGTGGGTGAGTGGGTGAGTGAGGGGGTGAGTGAGGGGGTGAGTGAGGGGGTGAGTGAGGGGGTGAGTGAGGGGGTGAGTGAGGGGGTGAGTGAGGGGGTGAGTGAGGGGGTGAGTGAGGGGGTGAGTGAGGGGGTGAGTGAGTGATGGGGTGAGTGAGTGGGTGGGTGAGTGAGTGCGTGGGTGAGTGAGTGAGTGGTGAGTGAGTGGTGAGTGAGTGAGAGGGTGAGTGAGTGCATGGGTGAGTGAGAGGGTGAGTGGGTGAGTGAGGGGGTGAGTGAGGGGGTGAGTGAGGGAGTGAGTGAGGGGGTCAGAGAGGGGGTGAGTGAGGGGGTGAGTGAGTGATCGGGTGAGTGAGTGGGTGAGTGAGTGCGTGGGTGAGTGAGTGGGTGAGTGAGTGAGTGGTGAGTGAGTGGTGAGTGAGAGGGTGAGTGAGTGAGAGGGTGAGTGAGTGCGTGGGTGAGTGGGTGAGTGAGGGGGTGAGTGGTGAGTGAGTGAGTGGTGAGTGAGTGAGTGGTGAGTGAGTGAGTGAGTGGTGAGTGAGTGAGTGAGGGGTGGGTGAGTGAGTGGTGAGTGAGTGAGTGAGGGGTGAGTGAGTGGTGAGTGAGTGGTGAGTGGTGAGTGAGTGAGTGGTGAGTGAGTGAGTGAGGGGTGGGTGAGTGAGTGGTGAGTGAGTGGTGAGTGAGTGAGTGGTGAGTGGTGAGTGAGTGAGGGGTGAGTGAGTGAGTGAGTGGTGAGTGAGTGAGTGGTGAGTGAGTGGTGAGTGGTGAGTGAGGGGTGAGTGAGTGGTGAGTGAGTGGTGAGTGGTGAGTGAGTGGTGAGTGAGTGAGTGGTGAGTGAGTGAGTGAGTGGTGAGTGAGTGGTGAGTGAGTGAGAGGGTGAGTGGGTGAGTGAGTGCGTGGGTGAGTGAGTGGGTGAGTGGGTGAGTGAGGGGGTGAGTGAGGGGGTGAGTGAGGGAGTGAGTGAGGGGGTGAGTGAGGGGGTGAGTGAGTGGTGAGTGAGTGGTGAGTGAGTGGTGAGTGAGTGAGAGGGTGAGTGAGTGCGTGGGTGAGTGAGTGGGTGAGTGGGTGAGTGAGGGGGTGAGTGAGGGGGTGAGTGAGGGAGTGAGTGAGGGGGTGAGTGAGGGGGTGAGTGAGGGGGTGAGTGAGGGGGTGAGTGAGGGGGTGAGTGAGGGGGTGAGTGAGGGGGTAAGTGAGGGGGTGAGTGAGGGGGTGAGTGAGTGATCGGGTGAGTGAGTGGGTGAGTGAGTGCGTGGGTGAGTGAGTGGGTGAGTGAGTGAGTGGTGAGTGAGTGGTGAGTGAGAGGGTGAGTGAGTGAGAGGGTGAGTGAGTGCGTGGGTGAGTGGGTGAGTGAGGGGGTGAGTGGTGAGTGAGTGAGTGAGTGGTGAGTGAGTGAGTGGTGAGTGAGTGAGTGGTGAGTGAGTGAGTGAGGGGTGGGTGAGTGAGTGGTGAGTGAGTGAGTGAGGGGTGAGTGAGTGGTGAGTGAGTGGTGAGTGGTGAGTGAGTGAGTGGTGAGTGAGTGAGTGAGGGGTGGGTGAGTGAGTGGTGAGTGAGTGGTGAGTGAGTGGTGAGTGGTGAGTGAGTGAGGGGTGAGTGAGTGGTGAGTGAGTGGTGAGTGAGTGGTGAGTGAGTGGTGAGTGAGTGAGTGAGTGGTGAGTGAGTGGTGAGTGAGTGGTGAGTGAGTGGTGAGTGGTGAGTGAGGGGTGAGTGAGTGGTGAGTGAGTGGTGAGTGAGTGAGTGGTGAGTGAGTGAGTGAGTGGTGAGTGAGTGGTGAGTGAGTGAGAGGGTGAGTGGGTGAGTGAGTGCGTGGGTGAGTGAGTGGGTGAGTGGGTGAGTGAGGGGGTGAGTGAGGGGGTGAGTGAGGGAGTGAGTGAGGGGGTGAGTGAGGGGGTGAGTGAGTGGTGAGTGAGTGGTGAGTGAGTGGTGAGTGAGTGGTGAGTGAGTGAGAGGGTGAGTGAGTGCGTGGGTGAGTGAGTGGGTGAGTGGGTGAGTGAGGGGGTGAGTGAGGGGGTGAGTGAGTGAGTGGGTGAGTGAGGGGGTGAGTGAGGGGGTGAGTGAGGGGGTGAGTGAGGGGGTGAGTGAGGGGGTGAGTGAGGGGGTGAGTGAGTGATGGGGTGAGTGAGTGGGTGGGTGAGTGAGTGCGTGGGTGAGTGAGTGAGTGAGTGGTGAGTGAGTGGTGAGTGAGTGAGAGGGTGAGTGGGTGAGTGAGTGCGTGGGTGAGTGAGTGGGTGAGTGGGTGTGTGAGGGGGTGAGTGAGGGGGTGAGTGAGGGAGTGAGTGAGGGGGTGAGTGAGGGGGTGAGTGAGTGGTGAGTGAGTGAGGGGGTGAGTGAGTGGTGAGTGAGTGAGGGGGTGAGTGAGTGCGTGGGTGAGTGAGTGGGTGAGTGGGTGAGTGAGGGGGTGAGTGAGGGGGTGAGTGAGGGAGTGAGTGAGGGGGTGAGTGAGGGGGTGAGTGAGGGGGTGAGTGAGGGGGTGAGTGAGGGGGTGAGTGAGGGGGTGAGTGAGTGAGTGGGTGGGTGAGTGAGTGCGTGGGTGAGTGAGTGAGTGGTGAGTGGTGAGTGAGTGAGAGGGTGAGTGAGTGCGTGGGTGAGTGAGAGGGTGAGTGGGTGAGTGAGGGGGTGAGTGAGGGGGTGAGTGAGGGAGTGAGTGAGGGGGTAAGTGAGGGGGTGAGTGAGGGGGTGAGTGAGTGATCGGGTGAGTGAGTGGGTGAGTGAGTGCGTGGGTGAGTGAGTGGGTGAGTGAGTGAGTGGTGAGTGAGTGGTGAGTGAGAGGGTGAGTGAGTGAGAGGGTGAGTGAGTGCGTGGGTGAGTGGGTGAGTGAGGGGGTGAGTGGTGAGTGAGTGAGTGGTGAGTGAGTGAGTGGTGAGTGAGTGAGTGAGTGGTGAGTGAGTGAGTGAGGGGTGGGTGAGTGAGTGGTGAGTGAGTGAGTGAGGGGTGAGTGAGTGGTGAGTGAGTGGTGAGTGGTGAGTGAGTGAGTGGTGAGTGAGTGAGTGAGGGGTGGGTGAGTGAGTGGTGAGTGAGTGGTGAGTGAGTGGTGAGTGGTGAGTGAGGGGTGAGTGAGTGGTGAGTGAGTGGTGAGTGGTGAGTGAGTGGTGAGTGAGTGAGTGGTGAGTGAGTGAGTGAGTGGTGAGTGAGTGGTGAGTGAGTGAGTGGTGAGTGAGTGGTGAGTGAGTAGTGAGTGGTGAGTGAGTGGTGAGTGAGTGAGTGGTGAGTGAGTGGTGAGTGAGTGGTGAGTGAGTGAGTGGTGAGTGAGGGGTGAGTGAGTGGTGAGTGAGTGGTGAGTGAGGGGTGAGTGAGTGGTGAGTGAGTGGTGAGTGAGTGGTGAGTGGTGAGTGAGTGGTGAGTGAGTGAGTGGTGAGTGAGGGGTGAGTGAGTGGTGAGTGAGTGAGTGGTGAGTGAGTGGTGAGTGAGTAGTGAGTGGTGAGTGAGTGGTGAGTGAGTGAGTGGTGAGTGAGTGGTGAGTGAGTGCTCACCAATGACGTATGAGAGGATGAGATTCCAGCCGGTAATGAAGGCAATCAGTTCCCCTACCGTCACGTAGCTGGGGCAGAGGCAACATCATCAACATCGTCAACATCGTCAACATCAACAACATCATATTCTTAGTTTTTTCGGTAAAGTCACGTTGAAGAGAAACAACAAAATAACAAAATATATATAAAACAATAAAAAATTCTCACGACGTTTCGACCATAACTCAAACGGTCATCATCAGGTGTGTCGGTTTGCATACATTTATTTTAGACAGAGTGGCTCATTGAACCAGGAAAGCTACCCATACGGATGCTTATCTGAAACCGGATTCCCACCACCATCCATCACAGAAGAATTCTCTCATCAAGACTCTGTATCATAGAGCCCAATGCATATCCGACCAGGAACACATAAGCAGTGAACTCAAGCACGTACACCAAGCTCTTAGGGCTAATGATTACTCCGACTATACAATCCGCAAAGCTATCACTCAAACCATGAAGAAGAACCCTCTTGAGAAGCCTTTCAAAACCATCACTTTACCCTACATTGCTGGGATCACAAAAAAGATCTCCAAAATCTTGAATAAACACAAGATCCAGGTCCGTTTCAACACATTACATAAAATCCGTGATCTGGTTCCGTCTGTAAAAGATGTGATTCCGGACATACAATACCCTGGTGTCTACAAACTAAGTTGCCTCTGTGGTAGTAGTTACATTGGAGAAACCAAACGCCATATCTCGGACCGCATTCGTGAACACAAAGCAGACCTTAAACACGGTAGGACCAACACCTCGGCCGTAGCAGATCATTGTTCTAATTCAGTAGGCTCACATGCCATTGACTTTTCCAAGACGGAGGTTCTTTGTAAGCCATCTGGCTTCCATGAGAGATTCGTTCATGAGGCTATCCACATATACAAACACAGAGACAATTTCAACCGAGAAGATGGATTCTATCTTAGCAATCATTGGAAAGATTTGATTAATCATTTCAGTTCTTGATTGATTGTTCACGCTTACAGTGGCTTTCAGACAGCATACATAAAAACAAATTTCGTCTCCCCCCTCCTCTTTTCAAAAAATAGATGGACTAGTCCTGGCAAACAGCCAATCGTTGCGCGTGACGCTAACGTTATTTTTATATAAATAAATAAATATGCCGTTTTAAAAATAAATTTATGCAAACCGACACACCTGATGATGACCGTTTGAGTTATGGTCGAAACGTCGTGAGAATTTTTTATTGTTTTATATATATTTTGTTATTTTGTTGTTTCTCTTCAACGTGACTTTACCGAAAAAACTAAGAATATGAATTACTGCAGTCACGAAAGCTTTAAATCAAAATCAACAACATCGTCAACATCGTCAACATCAACATCGTCAACATCATCAACATCGTCAACATCATCGTCAACATCAACATTGTCAACATCATCAACATCGTCAATATCGTCAACATCAACATCATCAACATCGTCAACATCAACATCGTCAACATCATCAACATCGTCAACATCAACATCGTCATCACCATCGTCACCATCGTCACCATCACCGTCGCCACCATCAACATCGCCACCACCACCACCACCATCATCACCACCATCACTACCACCACCACCATCACCACCACCATCGCCACCATCGCCACCATCGCCACCATCACCACCACCACCACCGTCATCACCACCATCACCACCATCACCAGCACCACCACACCCATCATCACCACCACCACCACCACCACCCATCACCACCACCATCACCACCACCACCACCACCACCATCACCACCACCATCACCACCACCATCACCACCATCACCACCATCACCACCACCATCACCACCACCACCATCACCACCACCATCACCACCACCACCATCACCACCACCATCACCACCACCACCACCATCACCACCACCACCACCACCACCATCACCACCACCACCACCCTCACCACCACCACCACCACCGCCCACCTGTAGAGGTACGCCGACCCCGACCGCGGCACCCTCGCCCCGAACTCGGCGTAGCAGAGCCCGGCCATGACCGAGGCGACAGCGGCGACGAGGAAGGAGAGGACGATGGAGGGGCCGGCGTCGTGGCGGGCCACGGCGCCCGCTAGGACGTAGACGCCCGCCCCCAGGGTGCTCCCCACGCCCAGCGCCACCAGGTCCACCGTGGACAGGCACCGCGACAGCGCCGGGCCCGCCGACACGTCGCGGTCCACCGGCTTGCGGCGGGCGAGGCACTTGGCCAGGGAGAGGGCCCACTCGCAGGGCAGCATGGCGGTGGTGGCGGTGGTGGTGGTGGTGACGGTGGTGGTGGTGGTGGTGGTAGTGACGGTGGTGACGGTGGTGGTGACGGTGGTGGTGGTGACGGTGGAGGTGACGGTGGTGGTGGTGGTGGTGACGGTGGTGGTGGTGACGGTGGTGGTGGTTGTGGTGACGGTAGTGGTGGTGACGGTGGTGGTGGTGACGGTGACGGTGGTGGTGGTGACGGTGGTGGTGGCGGTGGTGACGGTGGTGGTGGTGACGGTGGTGGTGGTGACGGTGGTGGTGGTAGTGGTGGTGACGGTGGTGACGGTGGTGGTGACGGTGGTGGTGACTGTGGTGGTGGTAGTGGTGGTGACGGTGGTGACGGTGGTGGTGACGGTGGTGGTGACGGTGGTGGTGGCGGTGACGGTGGTGGTGACGGTGGTGGTGACGGTGGTGGTGACGGTGACGGTGACGGTGGTGGTGACGGTGGTGGTGACGGTGACGGTGGTGGTGACTGTGGTGGTGACTGTGGTGGTGACGGTGGTGGTGGTGACGGTGGTGGTGACGGTGGAGGTGGTGGCAGCGACGGCCGACGTAGAACTTCTTTCACACCCTACGTAGCAGACGGCGGTGACGGCAGTGCCGGCGCTGTGAGTGGACGGCAAAAAAGTGACGGAGGGAGCGTCAAGAACAAAAGTTCCACCACCACCACCACCCTCACCAATCCTCACCCCACCCCCCATCACAATTCTCTCATCATCATCATCACGGTGGCTAGGAGATGTTAATTACCTCGCCTGGTACACAGGAGGTCGTGGGTTCAATCCCAGACACTGAGAGATGTTAATTACCTCGCCTGGTACATAGGAGGTCATGGGTTCAATCCCAGAGCCTGAGAGATGTTGACTACCTCGCTTGGTATGCAGGTCGTGGATTCAATCCCAGACACTGAGAGATGTTGACTACCTCGCCTGGTATGCAGAAGGTCGTGGGTTCAATCCCAGACACTGAGATGTTGACTACCTCGCCCGGTACACAGGAGGTCGTGGGTTCAATCCCAGACCCTGAGAGATGTTGACCACCTCGCCTGGTGTGCAGGAGGTCGTGGGTTCAATCCCAGACACTGAGAGATGTTGACTACCTCGCCTGGTACACAGGAGGTCGTGGGTTCAATCCCAGACACTGAGAGATGTTGACTACCTCGCCTGGTACACAGGAGGTTCTGGGTTCGATCCCGGACCCTGACGCCTGCTGTTGCTGTAGATGTGGAGTCTGCGTCTCTCTCTCTCTCCGTGGGGTCCTCCAGTTAGGAATCAACGTCACTTAGTTTAACACGAAGCAGGATCCACTACAATCCATAATACACGGGGTGTTTTGGGGGGATTATATCGTGTAAACATATAAAAGTGGTGTCATTAAACTCGCCACCACCCAAAACAGCCACTGGTAAGGTTACTAGTACAGCACTAGTGTGTAGTATATAGTGTAGTATATAGTGTAGTGTAGTATACTAGTACAGCACTAGTGTGTAGTGTAGTGTATAGTGTAGTATATAGTGTAGTATACTAGTACAGCACTAGTGTGTAGTGTAGTATACTAGTACAGCACTAGTGTATAGTGTAGTATATAGTGTAGTATACTAGTGCAGCACTAGTGTATAGTGTAGTATATAGTGTAGTATACTAGTACAGCACTAGTGTATAGTGTAGTGTATAGTGTGTAGTGTATAGTGTAGTGTACTAGTACAGCACTAGTGTATAGTGTGGTATACTATTACAGCACTAGTGTAGTGTATAGTGTAGTGTATAGTGTCGTGTACTAGTACAGCACTAGTGTATAGTGTAGTATATAGTGTAGTATATAGTGTAGTATACTAGTACTGCACTAGTGTATAGTGTGGTGTATAGTGTAGTATACTAGTACAGCACTAGTGTTTAGTGTAGTGTATAGTGTAGTGTACTAGTACAGCACTAGTGTGTAGTGTAGTGTATAGTGTAGTATACTAGTACAGCACTAGTGTATAGTGTAGTGTATAGTGTAGTGTATAGTGTAGTGTATAGTGTAGTCTACTAGTGCAGCACTAGTGTATAGTGTAGTATACTAGTACAGCACTAGTGTAGTGTATAGTGTAGTATACTAGTACAGCACTAGTGTATAGTGTAGTGTATAGTGTAGTATACTAGTACAGCACTAGTGTATAGTGTAATGTATAGTGTAGTGTATAGTGTAGTGTACCAGTACAGCACTAGTGTATAGTGTAGTATATAGTGTAGTATACTAGTACAGCACTAGTGTATAGTGTAGTGTATAGTGTAGTATACTAGTACAGCACTAGTGTATAGTGTAGTGTATAGTGTAGTGTATAGTGTAGTATACTAGTACAGCACTAGTGTATAGTGTAGTGTAGTATACTAGTACAGCACTAGTGTATAGTGTAGTGTATAGTGTAGTATACTAGTACAGCACTAGTGTGTAGTGTAGTGTATAGTGTAGTATACTAGTACAGCACCAGTGTGTAGTGTAGTGTATAGTGTAGTATACTAGTGCAGCACTAGTGTGTAGTGTATAGTGTAGTGTACTAGTACAGCATTAGTGTGTAGTGTAGTGTATAGTGTAGTGTACTATTAAAGCACTAGTGTGTAGTGTAGTGTATAGTGTAGCATACTAGTGTACAGTGTAGTGTATAGTGTAGTGTATAGTGTAGTATACTAGTGTATAGTGTAGTATACCAGTGTATAGTGTAGTGTAGAATACTAGTGTATAGTGAAGTGTAGTATATAGTGTAATGTACAGTGAAGTATATAGTGTAGTGTATAGTGTAGTGTATAGTGTAGTGTATAGTGTATAGCGTAGTATATAGTCTAGTGTGTAGTGTAGTGTATAATGTAGAATACTAGTGTATAGTGTGTAGTGTATGGTGTAGTATACTAGTGTTTAGTGTATAGTGTGTAGTGTATAGTGTAGTATATAGTGTAGTATATAGTGTAGTATATAGTGTGTAGTGTATAGTGTAGTATACTAGTACACTAGTGTATAGTGTAGTGTATAGTGTAGTATACTAGTGTATAGTGTGCAGTGTAGTGTATAGTGTAGTGTATAGAGTAGTGTATAGTATAGTGTATAGTGTAGTGTATAGTGCAGTGTATAGCGTAGTGTATAGTGTAGTGTATAGCGTCGTGTATAGTGCTGTGTATAGTGTAGTGTATAGCGTAGTACACTAGTACAGCACTAGTGTATAGTGTAGTGTATAGTGTAGTGTATAGTGCAGTGTATAGCGTAGTGTATAGCGTAGTGTATAGTGCCGTGTATAGTGTAGTGTATAGCGTAGTATACAAGTACAGCACTAGTGTATAGTGTAGTGTATAGTGTAGTGTAGTGTCTAGTGTAGTGTATAGTGTAGTGTATAGTGTAGTGTATAGTGTAGTGTATAGTGTACTACTACAGAACACCGTTTGTGTGTTGGAGAGCCAAGCCACAACATTTACAATCTGGGGTACGACGTTTCGCCAGGAATCACAACGAGCTCCGGCAGGCGACAGGCAGGATTAAATAGAGGCGTGGATTCGTCATCACCACAACCACCGCCGCCACCTACACTTAGCGTCGTTGGCTACGTATGGTGCGAAAGAAATCCTAGATACGCCACCACCAACCAACACCATCACCACCGCCACCACTCAACTCACTTATTCCTATAGCAACTCACTCACTCCTGTAGGCACCACTCACTCACTCACTCCTATAGCAACTCACTCACTCCTATAGCAACTCACTCACTCCTATAGCCACCACTCACTCACTCCTATAGGAACTCACTCACTCACTCCTATAGCAACTCACTCACTCCTATAGACACCACTCACTCACTCCTATAGCCACCACTCACTCACTCCTATAGCCACCACTCACTCACTCACTCCTATAGCTACCACTCACTCACTCCTATAGCAACTCACTCACTCACTCCTATAGCAACTCACTCACTCCTATAGCTACCACTCACTCACTCCTATAGCAACTCACTCCTATAGCCACCACTCACTCACTCCTATAGCAACTCACTCACTCACTCACACCTATAGCTACCACTCACTCACTCCTATAGCAACTCACTCACTCACTCCTATAGCAACTCACTCACTCACTCCTATAGCAACTCACTCACTCCTATAGCTACCACTCACTCCTATAGCAACCACTCACTCCTATAGTAACTCATTCACTCCTATAGCTACCACTCACTTACTCCTATAGCAACTCACTCACTCCTATAGCCACCACTCACTCACTCCTATAGCTACCACTCACTCACTCCTATAGCCACCACTCACTCACTCCTATAGTAACCACTCACTCACTCCTATAGCAACTCACTCACTCCTATAGCAACCACTCACTCACTCCAATAGCCACCACTCACTCACTCCTATAGCAACTCACTCACTCCTATATCAACCACTCACTCACACCTATAGCCACAACTCACTCACTCACTCCTATAGCTACCACTCACTCCTATAGCCACCACTCACTCACTCCTATAGCCACCACTCACTCACTCCTATAGCTACCACTCACTCACTCCTATAGCTACCACTCACTCACTCCTATAGCAACTCACTCACTCCTATAGCAACTCACTCACTCCTATAGCTACCACTCACTCACTCCTATAGCAACCAGTCACTCACTCCTATAGCAACCACTCACTCCTATAGCAACTCACTCACTCCTATAGCTACCACTCACTTACTCCTATAGCAACTCACTCACTCCTATAGCAACCACTCACTCACTCCTATAGCAACTCACTCACTCCTATAGCCACCACTCACTCACTCCTATAGCAACCACTTACTCACTCCAATAGCCACCACTCACTCACTCCTATAGCAACTCACTCACTCCTATAGCTACCACTCACTCACTCATATAGCTACCACTCACTCACTCCTATAGCCACAACTCACTCACTCATATAGCTACCACTCACTCCTATAGCCACCACTCACTCACTCCTATAGCCACT